GTTTGTTTGTGTGCAAAAATGGTTCTATAGAACTGAAATGAATGAACAAGGAAGGTGCTGACGAAACGCAGAAAGAAAACTGTGGGTGTTAGAGAGAGAGAGTGAGTGTGTGTGTCTATGCAATACTCCCATGTCTCTATATGAATGAGTGGATGCGGTGGATGGCAGGCAGCTGCAGCAGTGTGATAGCCGAGCCGAGCTGCACAGATATCAGCGCTGACATTTTGGGCTTCACTACCCACCCACGGCCCCACGGGAAACTGATGGCAATAGCAGCAGCAGTGGCCGCATCACCCCACCGTCGCTGCCTCCGCTGCAGCCCCAACCCCTCCCTGAGCTTGTCAATCTCAAAGCTTTGCTTCCTGACGCACTGTCGGCCTTAGCCTGGCTCTGGTTGGACCCATTATGCCACACAGCAGTGAGCACACCGCATGAACCACCGTCACCAGACCCCGCAATGCACTGCTGATTCCTATCTAGTCCTCAACCCTCCCACCACACTCACCAAGTCTGCCTCTTCATTCAATCTCATCTCTAGCTGCCAGACTGATAGTCCTGACCGCAGAGAGAAAAACGACAGAGAAGAGGGTTTTTTGTCTGTGTGTGTGTGTGTGTGTGTGTGTGTGTGTGTGTGTTACTGTTGCCGAGAAGGCGAACAGGGAAAGATGGGGAGCTCTACAGTAGCACACAGTAAAGGGAGGGAGGGCGAAACTGCTGAAAGAGAGGAAATAGATAACAGCGTGATACACTCTGGCCCCTCCTCTAGGCTTCTTTTAGGGCACCTCTTGGCCTCCTCTCCTCTACCTTATCCTCCCTCCTTCCTCCTCCCCCACCAACCCCTGGGCCCTCTGGTGTGTTGCTCACTCCATTGTGTCAACCTTCAGAAGTGCTCAGTTTGAGTGGCAGGCCGTCACAGATCAGTTCCCTGCTAAAGCGGCCCGGCAGGCCAGGGTGACGGGCCAGGAAGGGATCTAAGTGGGGTTTATCAGCGCTTCTTAACGCCTCTCCGGCTGCCTGACACAAAAGAGAGGGGTATTAAACATCTAAAGCAAACCAAAAAGCGTGAAAGCTCCTTATAGGGCCGCGGGATTGCGGATGTGACTGGAGTCTTAAAAAAATAGCAGAAAAAAAAAGAG